GAGCCTGGGCTCAGTGCAGAGGCACAGGGGAGCCCCTGCAGTGCAGAGCCCCCCTGAGCCTCTTCTGCTTCCCTTCCCAGCTGGGCAGGGAGAGCCTCAGCTTCTCCTTCACGGTGGAGCGGGACATCCCCGTGCGGGGCCTGAAGCCAGCCCAGGTGAAGGTCTATGACTACTACGAGACAGGTGAGTGCCAGCAGTGCCCGTGGCAGCCAGCCTGGGCAGGGCACACATGGAGGGGCACGGGAGCTGTGGGGACCCGCAGCTGCCCCAGCCTGCCACTGCCACCCCAGCCCTGCCTTGAGCTCTGGGAGGGCCGAGGGACTGGGGCAGAGCCATCCACGCTGGGGGTGCCGTGTTCATTTCTGGCCCTGCAGGGTGGCCCTGCCTGTGCTTGCAGGCAGACTTGCTGCTCCTTGGGCCTCTGCTGTCCTGGCTCCAGTGACAGAGCTCTTTGTGCCCACCTCAGCCCAGTGTGCTGGGAGGAGCTGTCTGAGCAGCCCTTGGCTGCACTGGCAAGGAGACCTGCTGGAGCAGCCTGTGTGGGTGGCTCTGCCTTGCTGCCACTGCCCCCAGACACTGGGGCTGCCCCATCCCAACTGGCATCTCTGGGGGAAGCTGGGGATTCTGACACCAGCCTGCTCTGGGGGTCTGGGAAAAGCATCTCTGTGGCACCCATCCCCCTGCCAGCAGTGCCAGGGGTCATGACAGCTCTCCCTTCCCTTCTGTTTTCCAGATGAGTTTGCCACACAGGAATACAGTGCTCCCTGCGCCACAGGTAGGTGCACTCGAACAACTGAGGTGTTCCAGCAGGGACTGTTGCAAGTTGTCTTGAACTAGAGTCTTTGTAGATCTTGTGTTTTCTTGGCCTGTGTCTACTCTCAGCATTTTCCTCACTGGGCCTACTGCAGTCCCCATGTCAGTTCAGAGACCAAAAGCAATGCTGCCACCCAACTTCCTCTGTAAGATCAGATACAGCTTTCATGTTCCTTCCCTGCAACCTGGATATTACTGCCTTTGTTTGTACAGTGGCAATTGTCTTTTCCTCTGTGATAGTGTCACTTTATGCAAATAAGATTTGGATTGCCCTTGGGATGAAACGTCACACTTAGTCTTTTGTGTCTCTGCCCTTTTTAGGGCCGCATCTGCTATGCTGCAGACACTGAAAGGTACTGAGGAATTGTCTCCCAAATACCTTGGTGAAATGTTGGTGTTGTTCACATCTCTTTAACAAGGACCTTTCAAACTCTTCCCTGGGCTGATTTTGCTTTCTCGTGGGAAATGCAGTTGCTGAGAGATAATGTGTGCTTGGATAGCTCACGTATCTCCAGGACAAATCTGCTTCCCCTCTCTGTAGCATAGATATTTTGAATGTGTCCAGTCATCCCCATTCTGTCATCTGTCTGCAACTGAGCATTTTTAGGTGAAGCACTTTCTCAGAGTTTAACAGGCTTGTACTCACATAGCCACCAGAACACAGACATCCAGGGCTCTGGATACCATTCACCAAAATATTTATCTCACTTTGTTCTTTTCCCACCTCCAGTCGAGGCAGAACAAGGAAATTCCTGAAGAATGCATCTTGTCGGAGCCTTGCTGTATCAGCTCATGTATTTCTGCCCCTGGAAGGTCTTGTTAAGGATGGGATATTGAAAAGTTAGAGGAGGACACCTCAAAAGCAAAAACAAAGCAACACTGTAAATAAATTAATTCTTGATTCTCATCAGATGTCTCTGGCCTTGTTTTCTCTTACTGTTATGCTTGTGTGTCTTCCTATCCATGTCATGGCCTGAGATTTCAATCCAGAGCCATCCATGGAAAGGTGGTGTTTGAGAACTCCTCAGGAATACCAGAAGGCAGAAAGCTTTTAGTAGTTGGGAGGTTTTTCTCCATACTTGCCAGTTGTTTAAGGGAGAGGACATTGTATCTCATCCATTATGTGCTGGAAGTTTGTCACTCTGCCTTTACAGGGGGTGTTTTCTGCAAGGTGATCCTTGGACGTGAACCTCTGATCACATATTGCCTTTGCACTGTGAAATCACTGCTGTGAGGTGCCAGGACATCGTGAACCTGTCCAATCTCATCTTTTGCAGCAGCCCAGATAGAAGTGAAGACCTGTGGGCGTTCCCATTCTTTCAGGGTCTGCTTGCTTCTAAACAGCTAAAGTGAAGTCAGAGAGGGACTGGGACCTTCAGGGAATTTTCAGAAAAATTCATAGAATTCAGAAAAATTAATAGAATTTTTTAGGTTGGAGAGGGCTTTAAGGTCAAGTTCTACTATTAACCGAGCATTGCCCAGTCCTCTGCTAAACCATGTAGGGTTGCATGGAGTTGTTGTGACCCAAGTGTAGGACCTACCACTTGGCCTAACACCACTGGCCTTGACCCATGGATCCAGCCTGTCCTGATCCCTCTGCAGAGCCCTCCTGCCCTCCAGCAGATCCACACTCCTGCCTAGCTTGGTGTTTCCTTCAAAGGATGCCCTTGATGCCCTCAGGTCATTGATAAAATAAAGCAGGAGTGGCCCCAACACTGAGCCCAGTGGTGACCACCTGGATTCTGTAGCTCCATTCACCACCTCTCCCTGGGCCTGCCTATCCAGACAGCTTTCTACCCAGCAAACAGTGCACCTGTCCGAGCAACAGGCAGTCAATGTCTCCAGGAAAATACTGTGGAAAATTGTGTCAAAGGCTTTACTGAAGTCTAGGTAACTTACATCCATGACCTTTCCCTTATCCATTGAGTGGGTCACCTTGTCATAGAAGGAGATCAGACTGGTCAAGCCGGACCTGCCTTTCCTAAACCTCTGCTAGCTGGGTCTGATCACCTGGTTCTCCTGTATGTGACACATGATGGCACTCAAGATAATGTTAGGCAAAAGTTCAACCAAGAACCACTTGCATTTTTCATAAGAACTTAATCATCTTATCCTCAGTGGAGGTCCGTAGATCTCCTCTGGGCTGTCTGAGTAATTTTAATTTTTTTTTTTCTCCTTCACAACTAGGCTTATAGTGCTTCAGCAGATTTCAGTGGGGAGGACCTGGCTTCATGTCTCGTAATTTGGGCTAAGCATTTTTCATGTACATTTTCCAAATGGTTTCTAGATGTCTCACATGGATGCAGAGGCAGTCAGCTTCAGTTCAAGAGGTCATATGGCACCATGTGTGTTTTACTTACATGTTTCTACATGCAGAGGTGCCTTTCACCCTGCCAATGTGGGCTTAAGCAAATATACCTATAGGAGTCGCTCATATAGCTTATTTCACAAATACAGACCCTCCTTTCTCTGGAAAAGCAATTGCCTCATGGTAGAAAAAATAGATTGCTATATTACTTCTAATTCAAAACAAAATGCAATTTAACTGTATTATAAATCTTGCTCAGCTGTCACTGAAGCTGGTTCATTCCACAGTCCCCTCTGAATATGAAGTGTCAAAAGGCCTTGAGTGCGTAAACCCCAAACATAACAGAATACAAAGTGACATAATATTAATCTCTAGCAAAATAGATGAAGAATTTTATTTGTTCTCAATGACACTGTTCGTGCAGGTACACTAAACCAAAAATTGGATGAAACAGCCCACTGAGCATACTTTGGATGCACAACATGCCATGATACCTAACAGTTAGCATTTCATGAGAATAAACAGGCATATAAGATTTTTTGCATTCAGAAGTTAAAACCACAATTTCATGAGACAAAATAAAGAAAGGGGGATCATTCCTGAGGGTGTCTAAGAGGCCTGTAGACAGTTTCATCAAAGCAGCTATGTGATTTAAATGAATGTACCATTTCAACTAGACATAGGCAAGTAGGTTAGTGGCAAACACCATTAGCTTCTTCTTGGGATTCTCCCAGAAGCAGCACACATGAGATAATGGAAACTTCCTCTAGAAGGCTCAATCTTCAACTGGAGACCAAGCCATTGTAAGGCAGCAGCTGAAGGCATGATGCATGCACACATCCCCCCTGCCCCCCTGGCACTCTCTAATCATTGAAGAGGGAAGACTCTGTCTCCTCCCACTTTTCTACAAACAAGAAACCATCCCAGGAGGGGTGTCTACAGGGAAGGTCACAGAGGCTGAATTTCATGTAACATTAGTTGATCTTCCAGGCTGCCTAATGGTGGGAGACATGGACAGGCCTCTGCAGAGACCAATTCAATGGAGGATGTGGTTTGTAAGCCAGGGGAGAGAAGTGGTTCCAAGAACTACCTATCCTTCCCCATTGATTAGACTCCATCTCAGATGATAAGTTCAGAGAACATAATACAGAGACAGATACATTAGAAAGGCTGACCTCCACTTAGATCATTCTGTCTTCTTTTTTTCCTCCCCTCACTTGTTAGCCTTATTTACCTGCACACAGGCATTGTTAGATGGGTTACTCTTTAACCTAAGAAGAAAGGGAGATTAAAGCTGTGACTGAAAGATGAGCAGAAAAAATCAGAACAGAGAACAAATTGTTCAAAAATCATTGGTGAGTACAGTTAATTTATTTGTAAAGTTCACTTCCCATTCCATGCAGGCATTATTAATGTCATGCTGTGGTGGTGGTGAGGCAGGCAGGTTCCAGCATCTGGGAGTGTTCTTCAGTCATTTCTCTGGTCTGCTTCCTCTACAAGGATGAAAGAAGATGGGAGGGAACAGGAGTCAGAGAGATATGTCCATCTGCTTTCTAAGGTTGAGAGACAAAGGGAGCAAGACGTGGAAGCCAGGTTGTGTGTGAAGAACAGTACAGGAGAGAGTTGCTGTTTTACCAGGGTGGAGGGTCATCCACAGCACTCACTACTTGTGTCACCTTCAAGGCAGTGGGAGGTTGAGAGAGGGCTGAAGTTCTCTCTGACCCACTGAGAGAGATAAGCGGAGTGGGATTTGTCACAACTGAGATGTGCACAGTGCAAACAGGAAAAGCTGGCTGGTGTACCAGCGAGGTGTGCTCTGTTTATTTCTCTGCAAAGAGTGGAAGAAAAGCACTGCACTCTGTTGCTCTACTATACAGGGCAGTGAAGGAAGCTTGGCAACTGAGATCTGCCTTCTAGTCAGTGCAGGCCACCTCTGTACACTTAGACTAGTGGACAAGCCTCTTAAGTGGCAATTTCCCATCCCCCTTTCCAAGGAAGATAAAATCTCTGCCTTTTATCAGAACTGGGGAAAAGTAGCCTAAAATCTAAGGTCTCCCCATGAGGCTCACACTGGACAACCAGACCACACCAAAACACACTTTGGAAATGTTTTACTGTCCACTCAATGTTTGGACTTATGCACATTTTTCCATGAAGGGAGGCTGTAGGTCCAGAATCAGCAGAAATCAGCTGTACCTATGGACATGGCCTAGATTAACAAGCACTATGGAACTGAAGTGTGACAGTTCAGACTCTTCTATTTTTCCAGTTAGAAATGCTAAAGGAGATAAATGCCACCATTTACCACCAGCAGAATGCAAAGCTTTTGCCTTCTCCAAGTCCAAATCACTTTTTCTCTGTTCTCAGGTGTCACAGTCAGGTCCTGTGAAAAACCATTTCCCAGGAACTCTGCTTTCCAGAAGCCTCCATATTCCAAACACCTGAATCTGGGCTATTGACAGAAAATAACACCTGCCATTCTTCATATTGGAAGACTCCATATAGGACAGGAGAAATAACCTTGGTCAGACCATGTTACAGAAACTCCTAACTTACCTGTGCTCCTAAGCCAAACACACATGGCCTTGCATTGCAGAGAATCCCCCAAAGATGACAGTATTCTGTCCTGACAGCTCAGACTCCAAGTCAACACTGAGGGCTGCCTGCCCAGGGTTATGAGGCACAGCAGTGTCCTGAGAGGCCCTGGGGCAGCAGGAACTTTAGTAGGAGGCAGCTGTTCCTCCAGACAGCAGCAGCCAAAGGCAAACTTCCCATGTCTGTAACACCCATGCTCTTTATTTTACACACAATATCTGTGCCTGTTGGTTGGGCCAATGTCATACAAATTCAAACAGGAAGAGACAAGTGTTGTCTGGAAGACCAAAAATATAATGAAGAAGATGGAGAGAGCAGTGAAGGAAGCAGTACCCTACCTGTGGTGCAGGGAGCACTGTATTCCTGTGTGGCAAACTCATCTGGAAAACAGAAGGGAAGGGAGAGCTGTCATGACCCCTGGCACTGCTGGCAGGGGGATGGGTGCCACAGAGATGCTTTTCCCAGACCCCCAGAGCAGGCTGGTGTCAGAATCCCCAGCTTCCCCCAGAGATGCCAGTTGGGATGGGGCAGCCCCAGTGTCTGGGGGCAGTGGCAGCAAGGCAGAGCCACCCACACAGGCTGCTCCAGCAGGTCTCCTTGCCAGTGCAGCCAAGGGCTGCTCAGACAGCTCCTCCCAGCACACTGGGCTGAGGTGGGCACAAAGAGCTCTGTCACTGCCACCCTGGCACAGCAGCCAGGACAGCAGAGGCCCAAGGAGCAGCAAGTCTGCCTGCAAGCACAGGCAGGGCCACCCTGCAGGGCCAGAAATGAACACGGCACCCCCAGCGTGGATGGCTCTGCCCCAGTCCCTCGGCCCTCCCAGAGCTCAAGGCAGGGCTGGGGTGGCAGTGGCAGGCTGGGGCAGCTGCGGGTCCCCACAGCTCCCGTGCCCCTCCATGTGTGCCCTGCCCAGGCTGGCTGCCACGGGCACTGCTGGCACTCACCTGTCTCGTAGTAGTCATAGACCTTCACCTGGGCTGGCTTCAGG